ACCTTAATTTATCTGTTGCTTCCGTTTGTGTCATACAGATGACATTGAAGGAGGAAAATAAATGAAAAATGTGAAGGATATATTGTTTGTGTCATACAGATGACATTGAAGGAGGTCTGCAACTTAACATTTAGCCAGGAAAATAAATGAAAAATGTGAAGGATATATTTAAACAAAGAGGCTAAAATACTATCTATTAAGCTCATGGTGATATTATCAGAGGCTGTTACCTTGGCTAGATTTTACTGATAATTCAAAAAATGGATGTTAAAGAAGTACTGAATGACACAGGATGTTATCTTCCTTTGAAGAAATCTTGCAAAAGACCTCGAGAGGGTCATGTTAAATTTAATAGCATAGAAGAGCAGCATAGATTTTATCAAGGACATGTACAAAAGCATAGATAAGTTTGCCTGCCTTTAGTTGATCTAAACATGTGTTTTAGAGCATAAGATGAAGGTATTGGCTTTTCTTTTTGTACCTATTCAGAAAGCGAGTGTGGCAGTTGCTCTTAGCTTTATGCTCTGATTATTGAGTATATGGCAAATTGCTGCTGGGCCAAAAATAAACCAACGTCTCGTCTTCTGCTGTGGCTAAATACATACATTGACTCACTACCACTCATTGTCTTTCATATCAAAATAAAATATGAGTGCTCTCTGTTATGTGAAACACTGAGCTCTGTTTTCCAGGAAATGAGGAACTTTGAGTAAATCCCAAAGCAGAATCTCAGCAGCGGCTCCTGTTGTGCTGCTGGAGGGTCTGAACGGAGCAGCTGAGACAAAACCACGCTCCTGCCGGTATGCAAATGAACCCAAAGATGGCAGATAAAGCCGCCCAAGGATGCGTTAAAATCCGGAGCCATTTATGTAGAAAGATGGATCAAGTGAAAGATTTACTACTTCAATTCCAACTCATTGATTTCTGTTGCTTAAATTAGAGCAAAATCTCAATGCTGCCATGTATCTGAACCCATTCGTTCTTAGCTTACAAAGCAGAATACTGTAATTAACTAAATTGAATGTTTCTCAAAGCTCTTTTAAAGAAAAGACTAATTTGCTTACAATGCATTGGATAGTCTGTCTAAATAGGCTGGCATCCTTCCAATTTCAAAACAGCTGAGATTTAAAATCATTACGGGAGCAAGTATTCCAGATTTCTTATTTAGGTTACTCTGCTCTGGGTGTCATAAGGAGGAGGAATGGAAGAGGCAAAGAAAGTGATGGAGAATCTTTTTTTTTTTTGGGTTGTGTTGGTTTTTTTTTATTTTTTTCCTGTTTTTGTTTGTTTGTTTGTTTGTTTTTTGATTTTTTTGGGGGGTTGTGTTGTTTTCTGTTTTTTTTTTTCTGATTTTTTTTTTGTTTGTTTTGTTTTGTTTCCAATTTCAAAACAGCTGAGATTTAAAATCATTACGGGAGCAAGTATTCCAGATTTCTTATTTAGGTTACTCTGCTCTGGGTGTCATAAGGAGGAGGAATGGAAGAGGCAAAGAAAGTGATGGAGAATCTTTTTTTTTTTTGGGTTGTGTTGGTTTTTTTTTATTTTTTTCCTGTTTTTGTTTGTTTGTTTGTTTGTTTTTTGTTTTGTTTTGTTTTTGTTTGGGTTTGGTTTTGTGGGTTTTTTTTCCTGTAGTAGGATAAAATAAACCCTGTAGAGAATCAGAGAATTTGGGAAACTGCACATCTTGAAACAGCAAAAAACCCCCTACATTGTAGAATTCTTTCAGCATTTATACATGAAATGGCAAAGTTCCATCAACTGTTCTTTGCTTAGTTTTCCAGTATCACCAACACAGTGTGCAGGACAAGATGGTCATCTTTTTAACTGGCTTTTTTTCACTTAGCTTTTTGATGGAATGACCAGCTGTCTGTGTGAAGCCAGGTAACTATAAACAACTGCTACTAGTCCAGGAATTGAGCTATTGAGTTTTATCTCCACTGGGAAGTGTATATTAAAATTCGAATTACCTATGGTTTAACTTCCTAGTACTGCACAAATTACAAATAACTTTTTTTTTTTTTAAACTGACTCAGGAAGTTTTGCATATATGGAGATGTTGGTAGATTTTGGGTGATCTGTGATCTGAAGCAGAAGCATCTAGAGATTATAGGAATATTGAAGAAGTGGGGAAGAATATTAAATGTCATTTAGGTGGTAAACAAATGATATACTGAAAAATTAGTATTATACTTGCTTTGTAAAACGTCTAATTATCTTGATTTAAGCCTGTTAAGGTACAAAATTTCATGATGCTTATAATAATCTCCTGAGATGATTTAGACAGCATCTTAGTACTTTTTACAGGTGTAATGATTAGAAAAATAGGACACAAATACAGAACAATAGCTTGGCCATGTGTAAGCCCTGTTCATTTACTCCGTTTGCATAAAATTTTCTTTGATATACCAGGAATTTTGAGTATGCATGTAGGTGACTATAAAAAGGGAATTCAGTCTGTCTTGTAGCTGCTGTAAAATACATTTGCATGTGAGAAATAATGCATTAAAGTAAAAAGAAATAGAGAGGAAAGCTTTTCAATATGGGTCTTATCCTATTCTGTGTAGCTTTTTAGAAAAAAAAAAAGAAAGATTGAAAATTGCATTTTCCCATATTTGAATTTGGTGTTAAGTAAAATAAATTGGAATATCATGTCCTAAAATAAAATGTAATTGGATTATTTAAAATCTGATACAATCAGATTCAAATATAATTATTCTCAGAGTTCTCTGCCTTAATATTTCTTTGTATTTCCTGCAGCTTTTGTAGAATTTAACTGGTATGATTACATTTTAGCACTGTATCTTTCCAATGCTAAAAAATCTTTGCAAACTTTTATTAATTCCATGAAAACAGGAATCTGGCTCTTTCATCTTCTTGTGCCAGCCTGTATTGCTCTGGTGATAAAGTAGGAGCTACAGACAAAGCACCTAGTCTCCAAATAGATTAATAATAACTGATTTAAAATACATCATGAGTGACTCGTGCACTTCTAAAATGTAAATGCTTTAATCCTCAGTTTCATTCTTTGCTCTGTAAGTTTGGGTAGGAACTAAGTGGTTTAGGAGTTGAATTCCTTATGGGACCTACTTTCAAAATATTTTGATGCCCCAGCTAGATCCACATCTGGCTAAATAATGATGTGACACATATACTCTGTACCAGGAATTAAGAAATGAAAGGAAGGAAAATAAGAAGATTGCTATTAGTCTGCTTTTTCTCACCCTAAAGCATCATTCTAATTTGCAGCTGATTCCTTGGCTGTCTCCAGTTTATCCTGGAGAGGGGAGGTAGGTGGTGGCAGTCTGGCTTGTTCTGCAGAGCAGTGGTTCAGGATGGTGGTGCTGAAACAGGATGTGGGCATCTTTGCTCTGTTCTGCCTTCTTCCAGGATTTGAATTTAATTTCCCCTTGCAGTTACTCTAGGGGATATTGTGAGGCTGGTTTTTCCTCTCAGTTTCTACAGTGGGCATCTTTTTGGGTTCCTAGGGATCAAGTGCCCCACTAATCCTGGCAGTACGTTATAACCAGCAGAGTGAGGAGTGTGTCTCTAAAATTAAGTATTTTATATGTCAGTGAATCCAGCTTCGTTTTCTTGTCTGTCATGTGATGCCATGGAGGAGCTACAGAGCATTTTGTTTTCAGATTTGTTTCTAAAGAAGATGGTTGAATATTACGTGTGCCAGTGCATTTTAAATGTATGGGGTGCTGTTTGTTTAGTTTTAACAACTTTCTTGAAAAGAAATGTGCTACCTCATGACAGACTTGCAAAAAATACATTTATGTAAAAATATTTTCACTGTTGACATCTAAAGTACCTTATACCAATGTGTAATTAACATTGCCAGTAGCTAATTTATTTCTTTATTTTGTCTGAAGACTACTGTGGTTATGGCATTAATGTTAAGATTATTTTGTGGCAAACACAGTTACAACAATCTGCACTGAAATTACAGAAAACATGAATCTTTTTTATACCTAAATCTGGTTTTGTCTTCCTCAGTGGTGAACATACTGAAGGGGTAGGTTTCTCAAAAATTCCTGTCTTCTCTTATTGTTTAAATGTAGAGGAAAAAAACCCGTAAAGTGTAGAGGTAAAGCAGTTCTGTCTGTTAAACAGTTCTATACAGAGAGATTTGTTTTTATTTGTTTGAAGAATATTTTAAATAGAATATGAATTCTGTAAATAGTGAAAGAAGCATGAGACAGACAAAACATCTTTAATGAAAGCACTCAGCCATTTTCATGCTCTGAATCTACCTTTGTTATGTTAATCCAATTCCATGCAGTTCCCAGCAGGGGTATGTGAAAATTATCTTTTCAAATAAATGAATATGGATTATTTGGTGCATATCAAGAAGCTGGTTATAGGTCTTTGATCTTTGTCCTGGTGCAGACGTAGATCAGAGCAGTTATTAAGACTCTCTAACTTGTGTGGTGTCACCTTATCCTCCTGGATGGCCGAGGGGTGAGCTGGTAGGCAGGTGTGGAAACTACTTGCTTTTGATTCCAAGGATGAGTTTGTCTATTCAACCCAAATGGCCCAAATTTAACTCAATTTCTAGTGTCTCCAGGGTACTCTCCAGGTATTCTTTTGGTGAAGAATGACGCGTGTATCACTGGGGCTGGTGAAAGGAAATGAAAGAAGTCTACTTTAGTTGTACTTCTAGTTTATTTGGTGATATTTTAGAGATAGATAGCTGAAGGTAACAAGGTCTTTAAATCATGCCTTGTCATCAGAAGTCCCACTAAAGCAGTCAAAGTTAAGTGCCGTGAATTTGAGAAACAGTCTTTAAGAACAGAAAATGTTTGCTGCTCTTCTTTTTATGCAATATTCTCCTCTTTGTTTTCTCTGTGTGTGTGACGACCATAGAGCTAAATACTGCATTTTCTATTTTAGTTAACTTGTTGGTGCCTCACTAAGAAATTCTATTAAAAATTGCCAAAAATTTGGGGGGGATTTCTGTGGAAATGTTATATGTTCTATCCTATGTTTTGCTTCAGGATAATGTTTTGAACATCATAAATCAAATAATGGATGAATGCATTCCACATGAACGGGCCAACCGAGACTTTTGTGTTAAGTTTCCAGAGGAAATACGCCATGACAACCTTGCAGGACAGCTTTGGTTTGGAGCAGAAGTAAGTATCTCCTATTTCTGTTACTTGGGGTTAATGGGCAATTTTTTGTGGCATAAAGCCAGGATTTTAAAGTACATCTTGAGATTTTTCTGAAAATGGTACATATAATTGCAGAGCAAAGTGAACATCTTTGAGAACTTGCTCTGGATGCTCAGTGGAAGGGGATTCCTTTTGGTATTGATTGGACTAACAGCATATTAGTGTATTTTCATAATTGTCTGCTGTCATTATGACCACCTCTTAAAAACTATTCTTTAGTGAATTAGCATCTGATTAATATTTTTTTAATATACCAATTGGCCATCTTGCATCTTATGCTTTGGAAATCTCAGAAAAAAATAATAGATGTATATAAGGAAATTTTATCAGGATAAAAGAGTATCTCCAACAAATAAAAGATTATCTACAACAAATATAAGTGCATGCTGTCACTTTATTTTAATGACTATATTAAATATACATAACTTTGTTGAGCTGGCACTTGTTGCACATAATTCACTTGTTTAATGTTTATGCTAAAAGATAACACTCTCTGTGCAAAACACTGAAGTCCACTTTTCTTCTCTTACCTTGTTTATCTCAAAGACCTGCTTTTGCAGCAACCTGTTGGAGCAAGGGAGTTTTGTAGTGGATAAGTTTTGTTTTAACCAAAGGAGGGAAGCCTGCAGTGTCAAAGAAAATAAAATTGTGATATGCAAGATACTTAGTCATTAGTACTGATGTCTGTTGGCTAAAAAATAAAAATAAATTAGTTGTGGCATCTTTAATGATAAACTTGGTGTCTTCATGTCTGCTGGCCTGAAGGTGACTTTAAGTACCATGGATCTGTTGAGGGTTAGGAGGGAGTAGTCTGCCTAATACCAAATCCCACCACTCAACACCACCTTGTGGTATTGGTTTCAGTGTTGTCTTTCCTGTATTTGAAGCAATCCTTTGGCTTCTGTTATTATCCATTAATTTCTCTACCAGTTCCTCCTCTCTTTTTAAAGTACATGCTCTCCATGAGTAGTTCCTATCTGGGTCAGTCCAGTGTACCTCCATACATTCTGTTTCTGAAACTGACAGTTTGTTAATTGTAGGCTCCTCTGAGTCAGGGAAGTCCCGGATAGAATTTACAAAATGAATTTGATATGTCAATGCTTTATCATCCTGTCCTCAGCAAAAACAGCAGCAATTTTTCTTCTCATGTGACCTTCACTGCTGTCATCCGGGTGACACCATGCTCTCTTTTAAAATGCTGAGATTCTGACACGTTGGCTGGATGAGGCTTTGAGCAACCTGGTCTAGTGGAAGGTGTCCCTGCTGATGGCAGGGGGGTTGGAACTGGATGATCTTTAAGGTCCCTTTGGTAGGAGAACATGGAGTAATTCTTTCTGCAACCTTCTATAATGAACCCCTGTGAATCCCATCATCCTTTCTTGCTCTAAGGGACTAACAAACTGGGATCACAGCAACGAACAAACAGGAAAAATACCAGCCAATGTAGTAACTTGTTGCATTGTGGAAAATGTTTAAGGGAATCACCGTGGCAGCCAGTATCTTGTAGGAGAAAAAAAATGTTTCCCTTTATTCACTGTTTGTGTTACATCAGCTAATGGTTTTACTCTTTCCAAATCAAACTTTCACTATCTCCAAATCAAACCAACATGCTGGAGAGACCTGTTGATTTCAGAGAAAGTGACATATGCAGTGATGAAGTAATTCTAATTTGTGCTGCTGTAGACACTGTCCTCCTGTAGATTCATGTATTAAGGAAGACTGTATGGATTGTTATGAATAAACACTTAAGTGTCCTTGTCAGTGCAGTTGCTCTGAATTATCAGGCTAAGAGTACCTATCAACAGGTAAGACTTACCTTATCCATACTTTCCCACAAGTACTGCTTTGGCTGATAAGAGATAAGAACATCATCTTCTCTTGAGTCCCCTTAAAACATGAAGCGGTGCATCAGGCTGCTGAGCAAGAGCTGGGATTGCAGGTTCCCATACAGAGCTGCAGAAATACCTCCCATCCAGGGGAGTGCAGGGGAGACAGGGGGGACACAGAGCTGCACATGGAGATTTAAAAAAAAAAGAGCCTGAGGGGTGGGAGTTAATTTAGAGACTAGAACAACCTTGTATATTTTCAGTAAATAAAAATATTTCCATTAATACAGGAAGTATGATTTCTATCAGTGCTTATAGTCTTCAAAATGTATCCATAAAGGAATAAAGCCAGTGATAGAGATTATTAAATACCTTATTTTTAATAACAAGATTTTAAAAAAGTTTTAATACTGTGTTACAGTAAAAAAGCTACTTTTAATGCCTTTGTGAGCTGGTCAGAGGGAGTCCATGTATAATTCTTGGGGCAAGGAGTCTCTTAAATAGCTGCTTTACAGAAATTAAAAGGGAAGAATAGCTCTGTGACCTGGTTTTTGTGTTTTTCCTATAAAATATATTCACAGTTTCTGTGGAAGACAGGATACTGGTCTAGCTGGATCTCTGGCCTTGCAGCCAGTGTGACCAATTTTGCTGCAAAAGGCTTCACAGTTGCAGAATTTCTGTTCTTTTTGTAAGGAATAGATTTATTCCACAAAATCAAGCAGTCCAGGCTGAATCAAAACAGTCCATTGATTGTACTTTAGCTGGATTCACATCCCTTTTATGCAAACAATCCTTGCATACACAGAGTATATATCCTACCAGTACTTATTGCCTAGCTACTGGGAGAAGAGCTTTTTTAAGTTCTTTCAGCACTGTGGTTCTTGCACTTGAACCTCCTGCCATTCTCGGGTCTCCCTGGCTGAGCTGCTCCCTAACCTTTTATGTGAAGGTTTATGGCTTGGCATATCAGTCTTAAATCTTTCACTTACTTAATAATTTGCAACAAATTCGGGCTAAGTACTGCCCTCATTAGAAGTATTAAATATCACATCATGTGCTTTTTTAAAACATAAAAGTAACTTTGTAAAATTTAATATTTTCTCTCTTAATGTATTTCATAGTGTTTGGCTGCTGGTTCAATTATTATGAATCGTGAAATTGAGAGTATGGCTATGAGGCCACTGGCCAAGGATCTGACCCGGAGCCTAGAGGAAGTCAGAAATATAATTCGTGACCAGGCCTTAAGGGATTTGAACCTCTACACAGAAAAAATGAAAGATTCACTCAAGCATTTTGACATCCTTTTTGCTGAATTTGAATTAAGGTAAAAGGTCTGAACTAAATGTATTGTGAGCATTGACTTGGCTGCTACAGCTGTTGTGTGGCTTGGTGGTTTTTGGAAGTTGACTGTTTTTTTCTATTTTCTTTTTATGGAAAAAATATGTATTTTTTTATAATGGTATTTGAATTCTTGTGACTTGTATTGATAGATTTTTTTTTTTTTTGCACTTCTAGTGTAGCAATAATGAAAAGAAAATTAAATAGCTTTTTAGCATTCAGCATTTGCTCTGTTCAACTAAACTATAATCTTCCATTTGCATACTGGCATATGGCATTTGAGAGAGGTTTTCCAAGACACAAAAGAAAGCCATAAATCTCTTCCCTTAATGTTTTCTTTGTTGGAGGAAAGGTGACAAGTAAGAGATCTTAAAAAAAATATATATGTATGATAACAAATAGTCTAGAGATTAAAAGGTTTTGTTCTCTTGTGCTTAGAGTTGAAAGCAAGATGCTCTCAGTGAATTTAAGAAGGCAAATTGAAACTTGATGAAGGAAGTGCTTTTATACAAGCCATAATCAACTGCAGGAACTCAGTGATTCAGAAACTTGTGATTGAAAAAATGGTTTGGAGGATTATAGCAAATATAAAAATAACTGCTTTTGGGGTGAGAAAAGTAACTGGTTATTGCATCAAAGGTCACATTGACCAAGTCTTGCATTGTGCCTCAGAATTGAAGCCATCATTCAGCATGTCGGTTATATATGTTTATGGTGCTGGACATAGTTACAGAGAGGACACTAGACAGGATCATCTGTGGATCTAATATAATAAAGCCATTCCTATTTCAGCAGAACAGGTCTCTTTCGAGTGTTTTAAATCTTTCATGGGAAAAATCTGTAGACTGTCTTGTCTCCCATCACTGTTTGGCCTTCCTCTGTATTCATATTCTCTTGTATTGTTTTAGTCTGGTAAGCAATTTTTTTCTGATTAAAAAAAAAATTGTTATATTGAAAAACATTTTAATTGAAAACATTGGCTAAAAACATGGTTTTAAGTGTGGCTTTCAGTGCAGACACTGACAGTCAGTAACTGGTTCTTCAAAGTGCCTGTGCACAGTTTGGGCTGTCCATACCACCTCTACATACAGCATTTTTCTTTGCCTTTTGTTTTGCAAACAACTTTTTCCCTTCCTGTGTTACCTGTAGTCTGCAAATGACTGATTGAGTAATACAGTGACAGAAAACCACTTACATTTACCAGTGTTTCTTACCTTGTGAATTATTGCTTTTGCATGTAGTTCCGCATAGAAATGAGGCCAACTTTTAAGTCTCCTAAATTGTCTCTGCTGGCTAACTGAATTTCACTAATATAATTTCAGGTAAAACCTTTATAGATAAAATGTGCATTTTAGTCAGTTTTTTTCCTAAGGAAATGTAGAGTAAACTGTTCCTTCTTCAAGATGCGGATCTTTATAGATCCTTTGAGGACCTCCCTGTACCACACAGTGTGGAGTTCCGATTGCTAAATGTGTGTAATTGTTCTTATAAATTACTACTGAGTTCCGCTGTCTCAATCTGCAATAAGTAAATTGGCTGCATTTCTTATAGATTCTTACACTGTACAATTTTCATAGTGAGTGCTGTCAAAAGAGATACAAAACGGTACAGGAAAGGTTTTGTTTCTAAGATTATTTGTCCTAAGTTTGCTTTTATTTATAATCTGATTTGTTAAAGCATGTAAAACAGTAGTACATTATTTTATAATCTTTGTAGTTATGTGTCGGCCATGGTACCTGTGAAGTCTCCAAAAGAATATTATGTACAGCAAGAGGTGATTGTACTTTTCTGTGAAACTGTAGAAAGGTAAGCATTTTAGTTAGGTACTAGATTTTAATTTCTATGTTTACTTTCAGTCTGAGCTTTTGTAGAAATACTCTAACTGTAATCTTTAAGAATAATTATAAAACATCAGGCATTTTGCTTTTCTAGTAAGTATCCAAGTACAAAGTTAAAAAACATTACGCATGCTTCCAGATAACAATGCTGTTGGTATGCCTAGTTATAGATGTGTAAAGGAAGCCTAGGCATTTGAATGAGCTATATCTGTTTAAGGCATCAAGGCTTAATGATATTTCATGCAAGGATACATGGGGAGATGATTCAAATAATCTGTATAATTCTGGTGATTTTAATGAAGAACTTGTAAAACCTTTTAAAAATCTTACAGAACTGGTGCTTGACTCTCTATGTATGAAGAGAGGATGTTAAAAAAAAAAAAAAATCCAGCAATTCATAAGCTCTTTTAGGATTATAAGGTGATAAGCAAAATGTGAATTTGTTTGCAATGTACTGTGTTGAACAACTTTTTTTTCCCTCCTGTGACAGAGTAACAAGCCTAGCAGGTGGGCAGTAGAGAAGAACAGCATGTGAAAGCCCCAGCTTTAGTGAGGTTTTCAGCAGTGCAACACTGTTCTCAGAAGGAAACTAGTGAAGTGTAGACTTGAGTAAAATTATTAGAGATTAATTGACTGTAAAATGCACTTGGAACAAGTGTTGGTTTTGCTGTCATATTAGGAGAACTTATGAAGTAGGACCCTGGGTCTGGTGTGGCTGACACTTTCATTAAGGAATGAAGGAGTACAGAGCACTCTGCCATAATCTGTGGATGACACCAAGATCAGAGGTGTTTCAGGCATTTTAAAAAACAGGATTCCAACTCAAAATGGTCACAACAAGTAGGAGGAGTTACCTTCCATCAGTTGGAGAGCTACTACATAATGCACATATTTGCTCAGTAAGAGGAAAAATATTTCCTCTTATTTCTATTCTTTTCAGGACCAGTCAGATCTCAGCAGGACTAGGGTGCAATTTTGAGTGTTATCTTATGGACAGATCAGAGAAGAAATTTAAGGAAGTTACTAAACTTACGAGGAAATAAAGAAATTGTGAAGAAACTTGGAAAGCATATCCAAGTAAAATGCCTAAAGAAATTGGGTTTTAGTCTAAAAAGGGCTTAAGAAATTTGAAAAGTGGAGGTTGACCTAGAAGATTATAGCAAGTTTTATTGAAAATGAAACTACCTTCCCTTGTTACTTTAACAACGTTTCTTTTAGTTGAAAAACTCTAAGCACCAATAGTTTTCAGAAACAGGCTGAAGCTGGGCATGAAATAGTAAATAAAAAGGGAAAGTGGCATAAAAATTATCTTGGTTTTCGATGGCTATAAAAACTTTAAGTTAAAAATTTTACTTTTCCATATGTTAATTTTTTTTTTTAAAGCAGAGACTACAGCAGTCAGTTATACACATAGCATTTAGATTTAAAGTAGTAGTTCATGAGTTAAATACTATCGGTTTGGTTAGGCTTATAACATTTTTTTTTTTTTCAAATTTTTTCCTATGGAAATGTATTCTTCGAGAGGATGATTTCTTACTAAATAATTTTATTCTTCCACTTAGAGCCTTAAGGCTTGGATACCTCACTCAAGATATGATAGATGACTATGAACCAGCTTTAATGTTTACAATTCCAAGATTAGCCATTGTATGGTAAGTAATTTTTTTAGCTACTGTCCACTCTGCCTCACTTAAAGATTTGTTGAACATTTCAAAAACTTTGTTCAGAATTTTGGCATACTTTCTTTCATCTGAGTCTGCTTGTATCATATTTTCTTTCACTTGAGTTTGCTTGTACTTTCTTAACAAAAACTAACAAACAACAAAAAAGCATTAGGTTTTGTTTTGTGGGGTTTTTTTGTTTTCAAATTATTACCAATATCAAGAGAAAAAAATAAAAGACAAGGTAGAACTCTAAATATAGAAGGCAGGAATCTGGAACAATTGATCAGTCATCCTCTGGGAATAATAAAAAAAATGAATTAAGAACATCAGGCTATTGAATGTCACATTGTCAGAAATATGTTTTGAAAGCAGATATTTTGTATAACTAAAAATAATTAGACCTAAGGGTAGAAGTCTTGAAAAACAAAAATTTTCAATAGAAATTATGTATTTTTCTTAATGACTCTAGGTTCAAAAAGAATTCTTATGACAAACTATGTTGTGACTATTAAGGCTTAAATCTTTTTCAAGGAAAAACTAATGTGTATAACTTATGTGTAGATTTGTGCCCTGTATTGACCACTCAAGACAACTGAATTAAAACAGTGTTTTTGCTGCATGTGGTTTTTGCAATATTGACAAATCAGATGGATTTTTCCTAATGAGTCTTCATGATTTAATAAGACAGCGGTTTCTCTGGAGTAAAGCCAGAATATTTTTAATATTTTACCATTGTGAATATTTTAAAGTTAGTTAATATAAGTAGTGTAATTGACAGAAATAAGAAACCTCAAATCCTGAGTGTAATACACTTCTCAGGAGATCCCCGTGGCCCATCGTTGCTGTTAAATAGGATACTGTCTGTAACTGTAATCCTAAAAACAATAACAGTAATAATCTGATTATCAAAAGACAATGGGAATGCGAGAACTCAGTTGGAAGCTGCTGGAAGACACAGTGAAGAAGAATACATCATGACTAACTGGAAAACCAAGGGCTCTCTGGAAAACACATCATATCAATCCCAAATGACAGAGGGGGAGAAGAGAAAAAAAGCTTCACTGCTCCACAGTATCCAGTGATTTGAAAATGAATTACTGCCATGAGAAATTCCACAGGAAAACTACACTATCCAGATGTGGTGTTGTCTGGAAGAAATATGAGCCTTTTATTTGGACTGTAAAGGAGAACCCTATAAATGCAAGACAGGTGCAACTCAAAGTTGCCATACTGTTGCTCTGTTGTGTCTTAATGAGAAGGATGGGTCTGGAATGAGACATGCTGGATCCCCTCAGTCTTCTAATAGCAAAGATTTGAGGAATCTTTTTCAGAGTCATTTTTGTCTAAGGTTTATTTTCAGACATTACTATGCACATTATACAGTGTATGTTGCCCGGTGTTTTAACAGGTATCAGTGAACTTTGAACCTGGTAGCAAAAATCAAGACACACTTTTCTCCAATTTTTAGTTCTTTCCATGGTACAACTATATTCAAACTTAGATTCAAAAGTCTTTTAAAGGTCATATATACACACAGGCCATTTCATAATCTTTTTTTTTTTTTTTTTTTTTTAGTGCTCTAGCCCTCTTCTGTTTGTTTTTTTTGTTTGTTTGTTTTTTCAACTTCTGCAAATTAAGCTCTATGGAAAGTGAACTGTACCTGGAAATTGCCAAGGGAGTGGTGATTTTGCATCCATTACAGTACAGTGAGAGCAGCCTTGAGCTTCCACTCAGCAAAGAAATTACATTTTTTTGGGGCAGAACATGAGTATGTGAGTCAGCAATAACTACTCCACTTCATGGCAGCCTGCTTTTTGAAGCCTAGAAAGCGTAGAAAAAAATAAAAGTATGTAACCTTGGTAACAGAATGATTTGTCTTAAGCCACGAAAGAAAAAAAGGTGACTGGCAAAGAAGCAACTTTTTTTTCTCTCTCTGTATCTCCTCTTTCTCTGCTCCTGCCCTGCAATGCCAGTCCCCAAAGCAATATTGGTCAAGTTTAGTAGTTGAATTTCTTGGACCCTCTGTTATCTTGACAATTCTGAGCTTTCTGATGGCCGCATTCCAGCCTGATGGGAGACCACGGTACGTTCCTGGTACCAGGGCATGAGCCAGACTCTGCATTTGTAAACAGAACAAAAAGAGCAGTATTTCCCCGATGGTAAACAGAGTGCAAGCGGCCCTTTGGGTTTTTCAGCACTTCAGTGGGATTCATATAACTTGTGACATCAGCTTTGCTCCTGTGTGGCAGAGAGCCTGATCATGCAGGGTGCTTGCTAGTGAACAGCCAGTGAGCAAAAGACATCAACAGTCTTGTTATTCAGCGAGGGTGCCCATTACCGTGGATGGTTTGGGTGCAGAGTAGCTACAATACTCTCTGAAGGAACATGTAATTTGGAAAGGAACATAGGTTTGAGATAGAGGCAGGTGTCAGTTACCCAAGGTAACAGCAGGAAGGGGAAAATGATCTGGCTAAAATATGTAATCTTGAGTGTGAGAATGGATGATCCGTTTGCCTTTGAGAAATATACATTGGTTTTGAAATGTGCAGAGGATTAAACAGTTTTAAGCAGAGTTGTGCCTGGTGTGGGTGGAATCCACTCTCAGGCAGTGCGGTATGGTGCAGCAGATCATGGTGAAGAAGGTGAATTTTGTTTAATCCCTGACATGCTGATGATTTTGGGCAGTAATGATTTGGTCAGGAGGAACTAACAGTGAAGTACACAGAGACTTTCAAGATCATGAACTAACCTCTTTCCAGGGAAATTTCTACAAGTGCTGAGTTGATTTAGAAGCATGGTATTATCAAAATGTGTTTTATGTGATTTGGGAAATGTGTTTTCTTTTTTACCACATGTTAATACCAGATTGTATTTATCTTAGAAGCAGAAAAATATGAGCTCGAAAGTCAACTATGCTACCTAGAAATTATTTAGGCTGGAAAGAAAAAAACACTTGCGATTTCTCTCAAGTCAGTGGACTTTCTTCAACTTACTTGATAATCAGTTTCTTGATTTTGGGGGGGTTTTTTTTGTGTCAGCCACAGCAATGAAGTGAATTTGTGTTCTTCCTCTTACGTGTCCATTGCTTTTTCTTCCCTGCTTTAGGAGGGGTATGGAGGTGAACAGGCAAGGGGATCTTTTTCTTGTTGCTTTAAATAGCATTTAATTCTAACTGTGGGTGATTAAGACAAAAATAAGATATCAATATGTAACTTGAGTGTAGTTCTAAAGTTTATGTACAGTTGCTTTTCTGACTTCTTATTCAGTAGTTGCTCTTTGTAATGAAAATTTCATTTTCGTGTGTGCTCATGCTTGTGTTTGAACTACAGTGGCCTTGTCGTCTACTCCGAGGGACCATTAAACTTGGACCATAAACCAGAAGATATGTCTGAACTCTTCAGACCTTTTCACACTCTGCTAAGAAAAATAAGGCAAGTAATAAAAGATGGTTGTAACTGATTCTTTTCTGAAGTGAAAATCAGAGGTCTAAAAAAGAACACAAAAATGCCTAGAAAAGTGTTTGTTTGCTATGTTAACCATAATCTACATTTTCCTCTCATCTGCCTGATATATCCATGAAATAACTAAATGTAGTTTTTCATTTTATGGGAGTTTTCTGAAGTTTTTATATCTTTGTGATAGCTTCTTTTTCTGAATATCATTTTATTACATTTAAGCTTTTCCTTATGGTTGGATGATGCCTGACATACTAAAGTTGCAGTTTATTTTTGGGATATCCTGTTTCTAATTAGCATCAATGTTTCTGTTTAACTAGGCTTATTACATTTTCTCAGTATGCTATGATGTAATACTGAGATAATTCTTAACCTAATAGAAATTACTATCAGTTTTGCATATTGTGGATCTGTTTTTACAGGATGAATCATTTTATATATACCTCTTTTCACAGTGCTTCAGTCTTGGTAACCATGGGAGATGTGGGCTTTGTCTCAACCATAAAGGGCATTAAAATATATTTTTCTTAGTTGAGGTCTTTAGAAGAATGATCTGTTACACTGGAGAAATCAAGCTGTATCTTTAAAGGATTGTTATATTCACCCCTAAGGTATCTTATCTGGGTGTTAAAAGAAACTATTTTTCTAAATCCATAAGCCCTATTATTTTCTTAGAATTCAAATTTATATATAAACTGCAAATATTGTTCCTATAAATCTCTAGAGACAATTTTCACCTGTTTGTCGCCTTCCCTGTGTGTCATGATGACAGTTTAGTGTAAGAGTAGTTTTCACGTAGATAAGTTTATGCAGATTAATCTCCTCTCACCCGTTAGAGGTGAGGTATTTCCTGAGGGAGAATGCAGGCTCTGTCAGGGCTGGTTCAGAGGAGCCTGTTTCTGAAGTTAGCTTTTATCAATATCCAGTCCACAGCCTTTTTTGTCCCTTGGAGATTTCCTTGTATTTCTGTCTAGAAGTGATACAATTTTATTTTTAGGTACGTTAATGATGGTCATATTGAAATCTCAGTATTGACAAATCAATGTTTGGGGGTTTTTTTGAGTGATTATGGTTTTATGAAAGACTGAGTAAAGAAAAACAACATGAACAAAGGAGGAAAACTTAAGTTAGAGGGGAAAAAAAACTTCAATGATACAGAAGCTTAAAAGTCCATGAAGTTCACATTAAAATACCTTACTCCCAATATATGGCTATCACAGAAATTTTCACCAGCATTCCACTGGCTGACTAAAGCCAAAAAAATATTTAAAAGCTAATATATTTCTCATAATCTGCACTTTCTGCTTACTCCTTACACTTCACAACACAGAAAATGAAAATCAATGAAGTCAGTTTATTGCTTAGTCCATTTAATTTTCAGTTACTCTGAACTTAATGCTTGGGTCGAAAACATATTAGCAAAATGCTTGTTTGTTCAATAACTACAATTTTCAATGCAACTTCAAAAAATGAAAAGACTTTCAGATTTGTTTTTGGAAGGAGTTTTGATATACTTTAAGACTTACACCATATTTATTATTTCAAGTGAGCATTAAGAAATGTGATTTCAGTTGTCTAGCAAAGTTTGCCAAGTCTTCTTAGTGAGATAGCATCTATAAGGGAAAAAATTTAAACAAGATGTAATGTGAAATTTTATCGCTGGTTGTCTCTGAATCGAAGGAATGTCAAAGAACTTAAATATTTGAAAGAACTGGGCTCAAAAAAATCCTTTAGTAATGTTCTTGAATGAAAAATACATTGAATGAAAGTAACAATGAGATACAAATAAGTGTGCGGTTCATGTAGGGTAATCAAATTACTTTTTAAAGTACCTAAGCAGGCTTGGATATTTTTTTGTTATTGTAGGTTTTTTGGTTTTTTAACCCATCAGGCTCCAATTCCTGCTAAGTGAGAAAGTTTACAGAAACCTATAAGGGAAGATGGAATGAGATATTTGAGCTTGTCCCCAGCAAAAAGGGAGCATTTTTTTTCCAGGAGGCTTTCTCCAGTCTCCATCACCAGTAGTCAAGGCATGAAAATAGATTCAGGTAGTCTTCTCTTAAAATAGTCGTGTCTTGTATTGCAGTTGTGTGCCTGTTGTAAGAATATAGAACAACATCTTACTGCAGAATATGACCACGTCCCAGTAAATTTCATTGAAAACTTCTATAACTTTTTAGCCAACTAAATATTTTAACTCATGGAATAACACCAAATATACGACTACTTTGTATGATTACAGGTAATTTTTGAGCTGTATTATCCTAAAACATTCTACCTCTTAAAGGCAATGATAAGCACTGTATTTATGTGGATCCACATAATTACATCAGAACTAGCAGAGAAAAATATCTGTTGGCTAGGAAGTTCTTGGTGTCCTGTTGGTGGCTGGCAACTTGGAAAACAATAGAGATTGTGCAGACACTATGAGCAAAAGCAGTAAGTGTTCTTTTTTTAAGTTTTGGTAAGGTTAAGCAGCAAATGATAACTTTGAATGTTTAAATTATTGCCTAAGCAAGCTTCTTGTGTTGATTTTTATTTTAGATATAAAACATCAGCATTGGTATATTATACATCTACCACTGCCTGATTGTATAGTAATGTTATCTCTGTTCCTTTTAAACTAAGACATTGGAACCGTTTCTGCCAGACTGCTGTCATCTGCCTAGTTAAGTATACAAAGTATATAATCTGGTATATGCATAGATATTTGATTTAGATGCCTGTGACAGTGAACATTTTTGTGATAAAATACTACCTAAACTAGGTATACGTTTGAGACTGCTATACAGAGATTTTTCAGAGTTGAGCAACCTGTGGATTTTGCAGTAATTCTTAATTCTGCCCTTTCTTCAGAGCCCTCTGCTTGCCTGGGCTTGTTTCTGGGCCATTACAACTGATGGCAGGGTCCCTATGGATTTTGGTGGTGCAGAATCCAGCAGGTTGCAGATCAGGAGGTGCAGAATCAGAGGATTATCCCATTTTAAGTACACTGAAACCTTTCTCTATCAATGACTAGAAATCAAATGCAGTGTACCTGTTGTCAGTGTGTTAAAGAGTGCGGGGGGATTTGTGAAACTTGGATGCTTTTAAAGTGTACACAGAGACTGGGGGAGAACTGGCTAGGTTTTCCAAGATGGCTGTGTTTAAAACTTTAGGTTGACCTAAAACTTTTTCAGTAAAGGATTACCAGTGATATTTGTTATATATGATATGTGTTTGTTTCAGTGTTGATGTATTGGATCAGATGTGTGGACTTTGGTGTGCTGAACTTAGCTCAGCACTGCGGAAGCAGGAGGATGGAAATTGCATTCATGTACCTGCATCATGTTGTTACGGTGGCAGCTCCATCAAGATAGCTCTGTTCAGAGCATGAACTGAAGCACTGGCTGACAATAACAATGCTGTTCTCTGAAAACAGGCAATTTACAATTCTAGTCAGAATAGGAACAAAGTTAATGAAGGAGGCTTGGAAAACATGCCAGATCAGTGCACCTGGGTTTTTGTTGGCCTCTCCTCTATTCAGATGAATTTGTCTTTAAATGGATATCTGTCCTCAGATCTTTGAAGAATTAATTTCTGCACCCTGCCTATTGTCAGTAAAGTAAAATATGTTTATTGGTTTTGCAATAGGCAGAGTAATAAGCAGTGTACATCTTAAGAACTTGCCTTGTTTTTTCTGCCAGTGGCTGTAACCACTGCAAGAAAAATGTTCCTCATCTTTTCAAGGCTAGGTTGCCTTCCTGTGGTACTATGCTGAAAAGAGTAAAAGCAGGTGAAGCCCCAACATGTGCCTTTTTAAATTCAGTGTTTTCTAAAGTCTCTGTGGGAATGAAGCGTACTGCTGTTCTCAGGGTGGATTGCAGAAGCTCTCTTCACCTGCAGCTTCTGAATTATGAAAGCAGAGGGAGAAATTATTTTTTACATCAGAGCACAGCACTTGCTTAGATCCATTGACAAGTTACAGATGCTTCAGCAAAGAGGAGATGAACCATGGAAGTAACTACATCTTAATTAAACTTTAGAGTTTAATAATTATGCCTGGTGTTTAGTTTTAAACTTTCAGTAGTGAGATTTAACATTTCTTTCCGTATGCTGGTTGCCATTAATTTTATCCTTAACGTCTGCATAAGCATTTTAACACATGCCATACTCCTAATGTTGGCAGTGAATCCCGTACAGTCTAATATACAGTGTATCAAAACCATAGCTGTTGATCAAACATTTTTCACCTTGCAAGGGAACTTGTATTTCAAACAGCATAGTGAGTCTAGGGGATTTTTTTTTTATGCAGAGAAGTGAAGATAATTGTCCAAACCTATTTTAGAATAAGCTGTATTTGTTAATAGCAACATTTCTGGTATTTGAATTGGGAAATTGAGCATATTTCCTTTGAATTTAAAGCAGGATTATTTCTCTACTGAAATAACAGAGTTGGTGGACTACCACGTGTAATCCAACTGATTACGTGTAGCAGCTCTTGCAAGTCAGCATGGATCTGGCTCATTTAAAAAGACATGAGGACTATCAGCTGACTTCACTGATTTATTTTTTTTTTAAATCAAGCTTTATTTGACTTATCCTCAGAACTGCACACAACTGTTCTTAAATTTTGAAGTGTTATTATTGGCAGAAACTAAGAGTGCATTACTCAAGTCAATGAACTCAGCCAGCATAAAGTAAATATGCCTTTTCAGCACATTACGGTGAATATGTGAAACCTGTACCAGACAGGTCTGAGCAGTCAGACTCTCTGTGTCTGCAGTAAGGAAGCAGAGCAGCTCTGGGCACCCAGACATCCGGGAATCCTGGACGCTGCCATGTGATGTTCTGGAGACTGAATAAAACCCCAGACTAGATGCTGAAAGTCAGAAGACTCAGTCTTAGAAAATCTTAGATTTTCCCAGGGCCCATTTCATTCCCAGTTATGCTGATGAGCTTGCATGGAAAGCAAATTCCTTTGAATGTTGCTAGTATAGTCCATGTTTGTAGATTCTTCTCTCATTTTTTTTTTGAGGAGAGGGTATGACTGTGGTGTATGGAGAAGCATAGCTGATGTTTAAGCAGTTGATTGTTGATCACTTCCTGACACACACTTTCATCCATGTAAGTAAAGTTCACTGAGGATTACTTACTGAACACAAGGCTGTATAATTCTTTCAAAAATAAACAATAATAATATAATAATAGCTATTTTTGTGTTGACCTTAAAACTTAAACCACACTCTATCAGTTTGTTTTTATGGTGATGTTAAAATGCCTAATTTCGTACAGACTCTGATTACTGTTTAAATAAAAGATGTGAGTAATGAGATGGCGTCATTATATACTGTTTAGACAAAGAAATGTAGAGGTCTTTTAAAATGTTGTAGTGTGCCAGATAGCAATACTGGCGTATAGCTTTATTAGGTAAGTGGGTCTAACAGAGATTGTCCATTTCCCTTTCTTATTCATTTATGACTGAAAAGATTATCAAACTTTGGATGCGAAAATGCATATGGAATGATTTAAAGCTTGCTTATCTAGACTGTTATCTTTTTTTAAAATTGTGTGGTAGCTGCTTTACAAATCAAATACCAGTGATACATTTCTTGGGCAATTTCATCTTTTAGCGATAGTACTTGGAAAAATACTTGGTCTTTGAATGAAGAAGTTAAGAATGCGAGCCATTGACTGGAAATCAAGACGTGAGATGTGTTGAATGTTTCTTTGGGGTGCTTTTTTGGTCTTCTTGTTTAGACTGAAGTTACTCCTCTAAGGGAATTCTTTTAATATGTGCATATTCTTATTATTATGTCAAATGTATGTCACCTGCTAGCCAATGATTTCTAAACACGAGGGGCCTGTTTGAGCAGAAGGTCTTACTTTTCTCATCCATTCATTTATGATAAAATACACTTGCTGGTCTTTGAAAATGCTGACAGTAGTACTTGACAGAGAATATTTTTATATGTGATTTCTAATTGAGAAGCATAGTAAAATCAAATTCAGACCTGAAATTAAGAGCTGCTGTGTCTGTGGAATTGTTTTAAAGTTATGGAATTGTTTTAAAGTTATAAAGCACTTAAACGTAACAGCCTCAACTAACACTTTATTTTTAGGTACTCATAGTCCTAAGCTGCATTACTGAGGACACTTTATAACACTGGGGAAGCTGCATGTCTCTAGAAAATGTAGTTTAGTAAATACCTAAATGTTTGCTTTTAGGCCTGCCTTATTCTTAACATCATGCAGAAGTTTAGCTCCCTAATGATTACGTGTTTGAGGTAGGAGAGAGCCAACTTCTGATCCTGGTTTCAGTGAACAGGCTTCCAAGACATCAGCATTGCATAAGTGATAATACTATTTTTAATGAATTCTCTTTATCTGACAATATAATGGTATGAAACTTCTGTGGTACTCCTTTGCAGAGTTATTTTCAAAATGTGGCACAAAGGATGACATTGTTTGCTAATCAAAGTTAAATTTGTGAAATGAAAAAATAAAATTTCAAAATATATCTAATTGTGGGTAAGAGTTTCACTATAAGTAGATGGGGAGGAGGAAAGATCCATTTTTTTGGGTGTGGTTTGATTTATTTTGGGGCTTCATTGCAAGGATGTAAATAATTTGGTACTCTGAATTTGCACAAGTAATCTCAAATTCAGACATCAGTAATCACATGTTTTCTGAATCTGAATGCCAAATGCACCTGGAATTACACAGTGGAAGGTACTCTGTGCCCCTAATTTCTGGATTTCTGTACTACCAGTGAAAGGGGTTTTTTTAAACCTGTAACATCAGTGCCTCCTATGATTGTAAATGCAAAGTGTGTGTATTCCTTTGTTTTCAGGGATCTACTTCAGACGTTAACTGAGGATGAACTGCACACGCTGGAACGTAACCTCTGCATCTCTCAAGATGTAGATTTTCCCGTCAGAGCGGATCCTGAAGTGCCCTCTGTCATTGCACCAGGCATAACTGCAACTTTGCCTGCTAAGGAGCTTTCAGCAAAAGCTGAAAACACAGAGGCTGAGCTGGCTTGTTCTATGCAGTATGATGAACAGGAGCTGGAACAGCTGAATAGGATGGTACACAGAGTTGGAGATGAAATGTCGTCTCTACTTTCCCCTCCAAGCATCTGTCAGTCTCCAGCTCACAGAGCTAGCCTAAGAAACAGTTCTAGCACAGAAGCTTCACCAACAAGGCACCATCTTGACAATTTAACTGATGAAGAGGACAGAGTGTTTTTTATGGATGACCTAGATGGAGCAGGAGAAGCACTTGCTGGGTTGGATTCCGTAAGTGATACGTTTGCTTGGGTGAGTAACCCTTGCCACGATTCAAAACAGAACTTGCAATATAGAGATGCTCTGCTATATGAGAACAGCCATCAGACAGAGGAAACTTTGCTTTTAAAAGATGCTGAGAGTGACTTAAGCAATAATAACAATATTGAAGATGGCAAACAGATGTCTGGCATCTCGGTTCAGAGTTCATGCAGCTGTCTGGAGGGTCCGGACTCACAGGTATACCTCAATGGCTGGGATGCATATGCTGATGATGCCGAAATGGCAGAAGTGATAGCTCACAGGACAGGGGGAATGAAAATATCTGCTACTGTAATATTCAATCCTAAATCTCCTTCTAGCTCAGAGTCCCCAGTAACAACTCCAGAAGCAGCTCTTAGTTGTGTTCCTGGATCTGCTAATCCATTAGCAAATGAGGAGGAGGATGAATCCCATAAACTCAGTATAGCTGCCACAAACTGTCTAATTAATTCCTGTGTGTGTTGTGGCAGCTGTGAAGACAGCAGGGAGGACAGCGTTGAAGGTTTAAAGACTAAACATTCTGCAGGAGGTGTTGTAAATGCTTCATACACATTAGTAAAGTCTAAGGAAATGGACCATGTAGATAACTTGGACAATTCAGTTCCTGCACAGGAAACATTAAAACCCGAAACTTCTGCTTTGTTAGCAGAAAGAGACTTTGGCAGAGAAGAGCAAAAACTGCCAGTCTCCTCTAAGTGCCTGGCACATTCCTCAGGTTCACAGGTAGGAGCAGAAAATGACTCACAAGGAGAAGCAGAAAGCATCTCAAATCAGCAGAAAAAGTGGGAGAAGAGAAAACAACTATGTGAGAAAAAAATGGACAACAATGAAGATGATAGTAGTGAAAGGACAGCAAAGGAAGATATAAAGTCAAGATCTAGTTCAAGGTAAGAGCATCTTGATGTTTTGGTAGCAGTTTGCATGGAAATACATTCCTATATCCTTGTACTTTAGTGATTGGTGTATAATTTATGTTGATTTTAAATAAAATGCCGTGTTGCAGGATCAAGGAATTATTCAATATATATATTTTTAATGCAAGTAGCTTTTTATTGGACCTCATCAGCTCATTTGGAAAACATTTGGAGAACATCTGAATTTTAATCATATAATGTCTCTATATCATTGAAATCAAGTACACTGATCTTACCAGTTTAATGTAACAGAGGATGCATTGCTGCTAAACATTACCTTGATCATTACCTCTGTTGTACTCTGCTGTACTCTGCTGTTTTGCAAGAAAAGTGTGTCTGGCAGATACTAACAAGGTAACTTTTGCATTAGTGCACAGGATTTAATTGGGATCTAAACACATCTTACCTTAGCTTGATTTGAGAGAATGGGGCTGATCTGATCATATTGCCTGTTGGCACGAGTGTGTGTGTTAATGTCTGTGTGCTGAAGGAGCCTAATAGAGAGCAGAAGAAGCTTTTAAACCTATTGGACAATTTCAACCAAAGCTGATGGAAGAATAGAGGTCATGGATTAACGTTTTAATGTTTGTCCTGGTTTTTGGTAGGATAAGGTTAATTTTCTTAGTAGCCAGAAAACACTGTGTTTTGATTTCAGTGGAGATTAAGAGAACAATGTTGATAACATACAAGCACACTTTGCTTGGGTAATTTGCAAGAGCAGAGGACTGGAAGGGGCTGGGTGGGGGGGGAGAAGAAAAGTGTAGTAGTTAGTAAAACCCAGAACTGACAGTTGGATGCCAATCAGATACTCCGTATCATATCACGTCATGTTCAATATATTAACCGGGGCTGACCGGAAAGGGGAGGGATTCTCTCGGGAATCGCTCGGGCTCGCTTTTCGAGGATTGTGATTTCAGGTTCAGGGTTCCTTGTTGCTCAGTCGGGATCGTTATCAGCGGGTGGGGAGCAGTTGTACTCTGCATCACGTATATACATATAGTTGTTATAATTGTTATTATTATTACTATTTTAAATTTATTTTACTCTAATTATGAAACTGTTCTTATCTCAACCTACAAGTCTCCTTATCTTTAACCCTCCTATTCTCTCCCCGATTCCATGGGTGGGGGGGAAAGTGGGAGTAGGGGAAGGCTGCGAGTGTCTGTGTCTTGTTTGGCTGCACAGCAAGGTAAACAACCTACAAGTCTCCTCACCTTTACCCCTCCAATTCTCTCCCTGATTCCCTGGCTGTGGGGGAAAGGGGGCAAGGAGGGCTGTGAGTGACTGTGTCCTGTTTGGCTGCCAGCTAAGCTAAACTATCCCAGTTTTTTTGGTGCCCAACATGGGGCACGAAAGGTTGGGATAATGACAGTTTTGACCAAAGTGTGTTAGAAAGAATCTGCAATAAGAATTTGTTATGATGACTTGGTTGTCAGTGATCGGAATGTTGTTGTACTGGATTGCTGAGTTGTTCTTTGAGGTGGCACCTTACATGCAATCCAGGCAAGTGGACCAGCATTGAGAAAGGTATTCAGTACCTGAGGGAACGGCTGTGTTGGCTGCTAGCCAAGGGCTAGTCCAGTGAAGCTAGCAGGTGGCACACAGAGCAAAGCAGCAGAAGCAGCTCCATCTCCGCATTGCTGTAGCTATCTGGTGGATGTTCTTACCAATTACACCAGTGGTTTTTCCCTTTGGGAGGGGGAACATCTTTATTCAATTTCCAGCTCACAGTTACAAAAGTTTTGGAGAATTTTGATTATTCTTGGGATAGTCAAACTAGCTGCTAGTTCTTCTGAATGTATGCCAGGTTTTAATGCATGTCAGACTACTTAGGAGGATCACTCCATCCGCTGCTGGAGTTACCCTGGCACCTCCTACAGTTACTTCAACCTCTGTGACTGATACTGTGGCTAAACCCGTTTTGCTTCAGCCTCAGTGACAGACACTGCAGCCTCTCCAACCTCTACAGCAGGCAATGTGGCTACTCCAAGCTTTGTGACAAACACCGCAGCTACTCCAGCCCCATCAAGAAGCATTGCAGATGAGCTAGAAAACCAACACGTGCCAGTATCAGTTGCCCCTGTACAGAAGAAGAAGTGGACACGAAAGTCAGTGCATTTGCAGAGGGATGAAGATCAAGTTTATGATCTTCCTAAGGAGGAGGAGGAGGACGGAAGGGGAGATGGAGATGGAGACAGTACAATAACCACCCTATCTCTAACCCTGAGTGAGCTGCGGGATATATGAAAAGATTTCACCCATTACCAAGGCAAGCACCTCATTACATGGCTGCTCATATGCTGGGATAATGGGACCAGTAGCATGGAGTTAGAGGGTAGAGAAGCCAAGCAGCTGGGATCCCTCTTTAAGGAAGCGGGCACTGATAAAGCAATTGCAAGAGGGGAACCAACCCACAGTCTTTGGAGTCGGCTCTTGGCAGGTGTGAAGGGAAGGTATCCCTTCAAGAACGATATTACATGCAATCCAGGCAAATGGGTCAGCATGGAGAGAGGGATTCAGTACCTGAGGGAACTGGCTGTGTGGGAGCTGATTTACCAAGACCTGAGGGACATGAAGTTAACTGAAGACCCAGATGAAATCCTGTGCACAATACCCATGTAGCGAAATGTCGTACAGAGTGCACCAGCATCATATACCAATTCATTGGCAGCAGTAGAATAAAAAGAGGATGAGGAGGCACCAACTGTAAACGAAGTGGCTTATCTGGGGGCAGGGATTTGAAGACAGTCTTATCCGGCTCACAGATTTGAAGATGGTCTCTTTCCTCTATATAAGCCTGCATCTCAGCTGTGGAAAAACTACAAGAAGTTCTGGAGAAACATGTGGAGAAACTGTCCCAAGAGTTCCAGCAATTCGAGGACAAGCTCTGCCCTCCACCCGTTCAGACCTATGCCTCAGCTGTTAGGAGCAAGCGTTTCCCTGCTCAAGAGAGATGGTATACACCATGGGGCACACTATGGTTTTACTTGTGTGACCATGGAGAAGACATAAGAAAGTGGGATGGGAAACCTACCTCGGTCCTGCAGGCGCAAGTACATGAGCTGCAAAGAAAAACAAGTACAAATAGGGATGCTTCTGGTGCTTCTAGGAAAATGCTGCTCCAGTCTCCAGTGGACACTTGCCCAGACAGAACAGGAGGGCTGATGCTACTC